GTATTTCACTTCTTATAATGAGTGGGCCTTTTGCTGGTCCCAGTCACTCCCCTCCTTAAAAACAGTTACCATACTGGACTCCACCACAGCTAATATCTCCAGATTAACAGCTATTTTGATAAATATTTTCAGTAAGAAATCCTTTTTTCCATCCAAACGTTCTTTTGAAGAAAGCATCTGCTTTTCTTTATATTTTTTCTATATGAGAAAACTTTAAAAAAAGAAAGAAGAAAAACAAAATTTGGGAGTCAAACTATTTTTTGTCAATTTTGAGATTGTTTTTTCTGAAAATCTCAAAAGCACTGTAAAAAAATCTCACCAGCTCTAGATAACAGAAGACTAAAGAATGTAATGCATGATTGCGTCTATAATGATTTTTTTTTCCCAATGGGGAAGTAAACTAACTTTGCAGATAAGATATAATTTCATTCCTGATATAATTAGGCAGTATATTCAGTTCCAGAGATATGCTTTCTGTGTGTCTTCAAGTAAAACAGTCAATGTTACAAGGGTTAGCTGCTGCCACACTGAGGACTGCAAAACCTGCATGTCTGCAGTCGGCGTCCACAACGTACAAAGGATGGAAGAGATGGATAGTTTGCGATGATGACACACTGAACTTAATGCAGCTAACAGGAAATATAGAAGATCCTTTTGTGCTTCAAGCCTGTCCTTCTACAGGACAAATTCTCTGTTTCTCATAAGACTTTTTTTGTGGGTGTTATTTAATATTTGCAACTCTTTATGTTAAAGCACTAAGTAAAGAGTATTAATTTGTGTTTCTAGAACTGATGCAGTTTTTATCTGTACTATCTCATATTCATTGAACCCCAGTGAGACCTGGAACGTTGGGTCGACTAGATGACCCCCGCCCACAGTGTACGTCCTCGCTGGCAGGTACACAATATCTTCCTCCCACCAACACAGTGCTGAGAAGGCAGAGTTGAAAGGCCAGAACATTCTCGAGAGCCATTACATCACCTGTTACCAGGGTCTTTCCAGCCCAAAACATTGTTGACCACACCCCAATTTGATTTAGGGTATAAAACTAGGCCAGGGCTTTCCAAGTTTGAGCCAGGTTCTCCTTGGAAGCAGTGGCTCTGCAGGGGAAGAACTCTCCCCTTGGGTCGGGACGCCGCCTGAGGTAACTGCTCGAGGTTGAGAGCCCTCTCCCACGTTTTCGTGAGTGATTGCGCAGGGGTGGGAGGGGGGATTGGGATATATATTTTGCTGGTGAGCCCACAGTGCAGTAGCTTAGTTCCTATACTGACATCTGAAACCTGTTGAATACTATTGCTGGTTAATAAATTGGTTAATAGCTCTATAACAGAGTGGGCCATTTTTCATTCCGCAACAGACACACATTCTATCTGTACTAGCACACAAGTTAAAATGAAGTAAAAACACTTTTTACTCTGAACATTCCTATCTCAATCTAAAAAAAAATGTATTTTCATAACTTAAATGACACACAAAATGAAATTACTTTGATGATATTTAAAAAAAAAGCCGCCTTCCTTTGCAAAGAGCCTTTTCATCCTTACCCCTTAAAGACTACAGTAAAGATATAAAGTAGATAGTAAAGATCAGTAACTCTATCACTAAACTACACAAAAAGTATTGACATAGGACAGCAGGACACTGCAGGTATGTTCAGCGTCAAAGAATATTCCCTAAGCACATCACAGGTTACTTTCCATGACTGCAGGCAAGCAAAGGTTGACGATGAAAGAGGTAGCATTCAAACATTTCAAGTAATACACAGATAAAGCATTTTGCATTTTAAAGATAACAGACAATGCAAGAATAAATAAAATATTTTGGCTTTTGTTAAAATGTGTAAGTAGCTTTGGGCTCTTTCACTTGAGGGTAATGTTGGTACCCCTGTCTTAAAAACTGCCTGTTTTTTTCTGCTTGCTTTGTACTCTTCCCGTCTTGGTGACATAACTTCACAGGGTATAATGAAATTGCACCGCTTCTCTCAAGGACACTTACTTTGAATATTGTGAACAATTGCATGAAATTAAGTTAAAGCACCAACCAATAACCTTTCCAACTGCAGCCCAAACAATGCTGCCAGAAGTCAGAACACATAATGCCTCTTCTGAAGCTGCTATGGTGATACCACCATTTATCTCCTGCAAATGTGGTTTTAATGAAGATATAACTGCTATCAAAAAGGAGAAAGGACAATAATTTTGTCCTTTCAGAGGCTGCAAGGCTTGGAACCTCACACATCTTAACTCAATAGCCTTGAAATTTATCCAGGATTACTTAAATGAATGAGAGGTGTTAGAAAATGGGAAACAACATCCCTAGCTCTGTCTTTTTATTGCAACCTTCCTTATGGCATCAGCTTGCAGTGAAACGTGAATATCCTAATGGGATTAAACATAAAAGAAAATAAGGAAAAAAAAATCTCTGGATTAGAATTTTAACTGCAGCCTTCTGTGAGAAGGACCACACCACGGTTAGTGACCTTTCTCTCCCAATGTGTGATCCCAGTTGTGCCCAGTCAAGTGTCCAAAGGAGACACCATCAGTTCACGCTGTATTTATCCGTTTGCTCCTGAAACAGGTGTCTTGTTACTAAGAGAACAGGAACTCGTGCCATTGATCAAGGAGTATTAACACACCCTGCAAGGGTGCATAACGTTCTCTGGTATGAAAAGTAGAATGTAATGATGACATTTAAGGCATAAGTTTTCTATTGATAAAAACCATCACACTCTAAACCAAAGGGAGTAATTTTTTTCTAGCAAATATGAGGAAAAGGCAGTCTTCTGAGTCTCTTAGAATGCCATTTCTATTTCCAGCTCCAGCCTTGGTTTGTTTTTGAAAATGTAGCAGTACTGTCTCTGATAAGTTTGCCTTTAACATACCTAAAAAATTGCCATTTTAAAATCTCATACTGCATCTTCACTGCCCTCATTAGATACCACAAAAATGCTTTTCATCTCATTTTTATTCTTAACTCTTGAAGCCCTCCCTAGCTCTCAACAATTATGTTTAATTAGAGAGCAGTTATTCGCATATGAGCAGAAAGCTGAGGTCAATCAAAAGAAACTTCTAAAATACTTTTCATTTTAATCATTCTAGATCTCCATACCTTGACAGTGCTTCAAAGATTCATACTCAGCCTTACCAATGTTATCATAAAATATTAACAGTAGTGTAAACTCTGGTGTGGGAGTATGTGTAAGAGGTTGAATTCCTGTTCCCGTATCCAGATACATGCCCAAGACTGTGGGAGAAGACGGGCTTTCCTCCCACCTTCCCAGCTAGTGTGTTTTCCTAGCAGTATAATAGCAGCTCCAACTACTGCTGCTCTCCTTTTCATATTAATTCACACAAAAGGTGTCAGTCTCTTCACTGTACATCTGAATTGAAATCTTAGGTATATATGTTTTTAATAACATTGTAATACGGTAGCAACTAGTAGATCTAGTCCTGAGCCAGTACACAGAGCAGGAAGATGGTCCTTGACCTTTGGAATTTGTAAGAGTAAGTGAAGAGACAATAAATGTGCCAGATGATAGCACCATAATCAGGAATTCAGATCAGAAGTCAGTAGGCTGACTACTACATGTATTTTCTCTAACAGTTCTGATTCGCAGATTGAGATAATTATTGTCAACATACAATTTGTTATCAGCATTTATAATCTCTTTGGCTCCTGTTGTAAGCCTCAGCGCTTATTTCTCCACAAGAAAAATATCCCTCTTAATCTGTCCCATCATGTAAAATGCTCTGCCTTCTCCAACCCTAGCTAACAGTAACCGCTTCTGCACTATATTGAAAGGAGCAGCAGAAGGAGGAGAAGTTTTATGGAAAGGATATATTGATAAATAAAGATCTTCATAAAGATGAATAAAGAAAGGATTAGAGGCTTGACACAAACATGAAAAACAGTCTCAGCAATTTGTTTTTTAAAAACATGGCTGCACAATTAATTGTTATGAAACACATTCCTCCCTGGATGCTCTAATTTTTAGAATCAACCTACCAAACATTTCAGTCTGTTTAAAATCTCACAGACAAAAGTGTTACCCTTGACAATTATCTTACCACATCACTTCCTCCTATGAATCTGGCTTCTCTTCACCCACCCTATAAAGTATCAACTTTAGTCTTCAAACTTCAAAATTCAAACAGCTCTGCTCAAGCCTGCATCTCATATCTTCTATCTTATGAAGAATCTCTTCATCACCACAGTTTCACTAACTGAAAGCTTCACTGTTCCTTTCTTTCATTCACTTCCAAATTTGTGTCCAAAACTGTGTCCAATGCAGCTTGAGCCCCATCTCCCCCCACTCCCGCCCCCCCCAGAGAATAAGGAGGGGTCCTTCGCCCTATAAGACAGACTCTCACCTTTTTTTATTCAAGCAACTCACCTCTTCCTACAGATTGTTATTTTTTTGAGACTGTGTTATTTGCATACCCACACTTAATTTCAGACAAAGATGATATAACTTGCAGTCATCCCTTCCTAGGGAAGCATCAGTGGATTTTTTCCATTGCATTTGTTGGTCTTCTAGAATAAACACTTTTCATTCATAAATAATCTAGTATCATTTGTCTTGAACTGTGACAAACATACCGTTATAAATATGTCTGTTAGTAGGAGAATTTCCATGGCTCCAATGGCATAGAAAGTTATAAAAAAAAGCGGTCTGTCTGCCACATGGTACTGAGGGACTATTGTCTTACAAATAAGCAACAGGTCTCTGACAGATAAGGTTTTGGCTGACCAAAGTAAAAATTATTTAACTTGGAGCTCTCAAATGCATGCTGACTGTGAAAGGTACTTATGCTGAACTCGTGTATAGCCAAAAGTTGTGTACATCTTGTTATCTCATACAATTACAGGATTTAGAAATCAGATTCTAACCTCATCAAAACTTACCCTGCAGTAGCTTTGACCAAGGTTCTCCTAACTTATACCACTGTATGAATAGAAATGAGTTAAATTTGTAAAGTGAAAGAAAATACAGACAATACCTGCACAAAACCACACATCATATAGTCATCAAATAAAGGCAGACTAGGACGGTCCTCTCGATAAATTGCGATTTTATAGCTGCTCACAATCTGAGGGTTGGGTTGCGAATCATCTGTTACAAGAACAATGACTTTGTTCAACCCAAGGCCAAGGGGGTAGTTTGCAATGCTGCAAGACAAAACAAGAAAAAAGTGGAATCAATACTGAATAAGCAAATATTCATACTGCTTTGTCCATGGCTGCTAAAGTTTACCTTGATCTTTGAGGCTTCTATTTCTAACATTTTCTTTCTCTTACCGAATACATATGCTTTTAGATGAAAAACAGGGTAAAATATGATTTGTAAAGACAATTTAAAATTCTTGTAGGAAGACAAAATACTGGCCGTGAAATTTAGTAAAAACATCTTCAGCATCAGTGGCAACAGTTCCGACAGGAAACCTGTGAATGAAGCCACTAGGGACAGTAATTCCTGGCAGGTTCAAGCCTGTGGTGAAATCAGCAAGGAAACAGATGAGTTTAGAAGTGTCAGCTAGCCCTTGAAATTGTTCACTAGCCAAGCGTGATTTTGTCCCAGACAAACTGTTCAGCATGACAGGCAAGAGCAAAGTTGGAGCGGGCTTTTTTCCTTTTGCAGTGAAATGAGAAAAGCTGAAGAAAACACCTGAAAATCCAAAGTTTTTACTTCTCAGCAAAAAAGATGTATTGTTATTCTGGTTTTCTTTTAGGAGGAAGAACTCTCTAAAGTTGTTGGCAGACTTTCATTGTATTGCATGTATCTGTCTTGGCTGTAATAGCTGTTAGCAAGTTAGGTGGCAGAATTTTATGGGAGCTTCTTTTTAAAGAATTAGTAAAGAATAATCAATCATTCTAACATTTTATAATGTTAAATGATAAATCAGGAATAATTTCTCACTGAAACTCCAGGAAGTATATTAGCCATTAGATCAGTAATAACTGTTCATTGAAAAGCATTGATTGACTGATTATTAGTAGACATTCTAAGTCAAAGTATCTGCTTCATAGTCTGGCAAAAGATGGTGTGTCATATAGGCCCTTTGTGCCATCAAGGAACTCTAGCTCTGTAATGATTAAGGAAGTTCCCCCCAACTAAATCACTGTCCCCACCCCCCTTTTAAATCTCCAGTGGTTGGCAAGGAAATCTTTTACCTGCTTCCTAATGGCTACTAAGGGAACAGGGCCAGAGACTGTTCTGTGGTTCTGAAGTAACTGATCAGAAAAATAAACACTTTCTGTCCCTCTCAACATCCAGAAACAGGGTGGTCATGTCCAAAATGCCTACTGGGAACAGTCTGGCACATGCTGTTATCTGTGAGAGAGCTGGTTGGAAAAGCCAAAATTGTGCCAGGGATCTCAGGAGCAATTAAACAACATGGATGATTGTGGGTCAGTGCTCAAAAACATGCCCTGGCTCTGTTTTATTTACCAGGACAGCTGAGGCCAGTGAGACACAATCCTGCATATCTTATAAAGCAAAACTGTACATTTGGAGCCCTAGATATTTTACCGATTACTTCATTCTCCTGCCTATCCTCCACCTTTATACTTTTCTAACGGATAGAACAAGTTGCAACTCTTGCAGAGGACACTCCCTTATAATATGATTCTGATGAAAAGAGATCATTTTGAGTGAGTATACATGAATTTATTTTTTCTTTTGGTTCCAGTTCCCCTTCTCTGATCCACATAAGCAGACTGCTGGCTGAGACAGCAGCTCAGCCAGGCAGTAGCTTAGGCCACAGTGCAAAATCAAGGCCTGAATATGAAAACCCAAATTCACCGCTGCCCTACTGTGTGCAGTGTAATCACAGTCTATTCCTACACAGTCTTGAAGCTGTGAGTGACTAGAAAATCTGGATCAGATGCCAGCAACTGTGCATTCTGTAAGGCTAGTCTAGTTACGGTTTCACAACAAATTGTCATTGCTTGCAGGACGTTGACAATTAAATAGAAGTGTTGTGCATGTTGAATTCTCCTGTGACAATTTTAATCTATACGTATTCCATGTGTTTAAAAACACAAAACAATGCTAAAATATTCTGATATATTTCCAAAGTTAAGAATACTTCTAGCTTTTAGAGGCATATTTTGTCCCTCATACCTTGGCCCTTTCTTCTCATCAAGGTGTACATGGCACTGACAGTTAGAGGGTTCTGCTCCAATCTTCACTGTTACCACATCAAATGGGACTTCTGTGTAGTATTCCTTGATCTTTGGGTTAAACTGAGGATTCAAGTCCAGCTGTGGACTGGTGAAGATCTGCCTGATATGAGATACGGTATCTTTATCTGTTCCAAGAAGGCATCAAAGAAAAAACTGTGAAATGTATGAACATTTATGAGTAACATGCAACTTCTGGCAGATTGATAATATGTACAATGGCAAGTTTTGTAAATGCCCAGTTACCCTGAGACTGATAGTGCTGTTGCAAGGTCTTAATGGAGACTTGAGAGAAACTTTCAGATCTGGAGGGATTTTAATCATTCAGTGCCCAGTGACTGTAGTCAGAGTACAGAACTGAAAGTCTGAGTAAGCCTTTGAAAATGTAAGGATTAGGTCTGGGAAATCCTGTCTCCAACTGGTTAACTGAAACTTAAAGAAGAGTAAGGACAAAATTCATAACCTACTTAGGTACCAGTCTGTGTACAGGGTTTATGTACACGTATAATTGCCAGGAAAAATCAAAATATGTTAGACATGTTCTCACTGCTCATAAGAACAAGTCACATGGAGCTAGCTAGACCCAAGGGGTCATTTGTAGTACAGCTGAAAGAATGATTTATTAAAATTCCTAATTCAACAAATTCCAGCTACTTCCCTGTGTATGAAGTCTCCACAATCAGATCCTATTTGCTCAGATGTACCCTTTATTTTGTAGTGTTTGCCAAGTGACTCCTGAGAATAATTATTTGCTGGCAACTCACTTATGACAAATATTTTAATCCAACCTATTGGAATCAGATTTACTGTACAATTACACATTCAGAATTTACTTTCTATATATACTACTTTCTCTAGTATGTGTTTAAAATTGGGTCCTTTAGAAAATTCTCCAGCCAGGAAACTCTTTCAGTAAAATATCTGAACAAATCTTGTGGCTTAAAACATGGCTTAAAAAGGTCATAAAGGATGCGTGAAGTTCTGTGTGGGCCTTTTATAGCTGAGTAAATATCAGCCTACAGAAATGCAGCAAGGGCATTTTCAGTACTCTCTTGCATAGATTAAAATGTAACGGAAATTATTCCAGTGCAAGAGCAGAATTTGGGCTAGATTTGCAGGGGAATCACTTGCTCACAAGTAGACAGACAGAAAGTTAATACTTTTTAGTATTAATCTGTGAGTACAAACAGTTCCCCAGATCCCACATGCCTTACCTAAGAAACTTTCACTTATCTCACTATTAGCTTAAGAATGAAACCAGTTGAAGAATTTTCAAAATAAAATTCTATATAATCTGTGATGCCAATCAGCCAACCCAGGAACATTTCTGGCCTCTGCCTGACACAGAGGAGTTCCTGGAGGAACTCTTAAGTTCAGTAACAAAGAGAAAATCAGGCTAAATGGGTAGAAGAGTGTTTCCTCTACACTGCAATTGCTGCACATTTGTACAGTGACTCCTTGTTATCAATGAGGAAGGCAGCGAAAAGCATTGCTCCCACTAAAGACAGCAGCACTGCTTTAATATAAGGCATGCAAACAGATATTTTAGACACAACTCTTCATCTCTTAAGCACCTCTTTAAAACTCCATCTTGGAGCTGAAGACTCTGGCCTAATGCAGGGCTTCATGCAAGTCAAGTTTAAAGGCTATTCCATAAAAATAAATGTATGCTAAGTTCTTAGAAAATCAAGTGAGCAAAAGTTTACTGAAGTGAGGCAAGGAATCATTGAGTGTTGGAACATACGCCGTAATAGGCATGCATAACAATATCTAACTTTTGTGCTTGAGGCTTACTTGACATAATAGTCTCACTATGGAGTGATTCACAAATGTTCTTACTACTTAAAAAACCTTTTTTTTATGTAACAGCCCACGGGCACTCCAGTCACTAAAACCTTATGCAGAAAAAAACCAAGATATTGGTAAAGTGAAGTAATCTCTCCTCTTTCCCCTTGATGGTCTAGAAAGACTTTTACTTACCATAACTGCATCGTCTTTCTCTAGTATTACTGGAATAATGCAATGCTAAAAGATAAAAAGAAACAATTAATAATTTTGTGTTGTATGCCTGACTCACAGTCCTATAGGAAAAGGAGTTCTCATTGTGTAATTATAAAAATACAGTGTGCTTCTATTCTTTTCAATGTGAGATCCTTACTTTAGGATCATGAACACTGCTCTTGAGCTCAGTAGAACAACTTACACAAAGAAGGAAGAAATTGGTTTATTACTTGTAGTAAAAAGCCAGAGGGAATGCAACAACTAGGAAAATAATGCAATCTAAATGATATATGTTAGCAGAAATAGTAAAAACAGGAAACACAGAGTACATAAACAATCTCATTGTGATCCCTTACCTTCCTGATTCTTCCTTAAGTCAAAGGGACCACTCCCCTTAACACTCTCATTTTCTGGAGAAGAATTCCTGCCAATTCAATAGCAGACATATTCTACATGAATGAAACGAACAGGAACATTTTTCAAAAATGTCTACATGGCAACCCATGGCACGTGGTATTGTAATTATTCTCCACGGAAAGATGAACCTTCTGGATTCCTGTTCCCAGCACTCATATTTCCTTAATAAATGTGACCAAAAACATACGTTCCATAATAAACAGTAGGATATAACAAAAAAGAAAAAAGAAAAGAAAAGCAGAACTAAATTTCAAAAAACAGTTGAATTGGGGTAAAAGTGAGAGTTGATATAGCCAAGAATAAAATAACCCAAACCCTACTCTTACCTGTTTATATGTTTCTTCTTTATATACATTTAAGGTTAAAGTAAGACTTTCTTTAAAAAGTCTTAAAGATAAATGAAGGCCTGTGTCATGATGAATAGCCGTACTGAGGTTAGCATGACTTTATATAAAGGAACAAACCAACCATATGTATTATTTCACCTATGTATATCTAAGTTTGCTAATTCAAAACAAATCACATGATTAACATCTAGAATATATATCCTCAGTGTATAGAATAAAGAATGTATATCCAGAATATGTATTCTCAGTGAAAAAACAAGAACAAGCCAAGTGTTAACTATTCATTAACATGTGAGTGACTCCCAGTTTGCTAAATTAGCAGACTTTTTTAATAGTTAATCAAAAAGCATTTTGAGAGCATAGCATAAGGAAGGCTTCTCTCCAATCAATGTACTGGACCTCTGGCTGATAAGACCAGTAGCATTTCTTTCTTACTAACGTTTCATAGGTTTCCTCCTTGTGTTTCCTGTGGAAGTCCTCATAAAACAGCTTCCTCCTAGATGCCTGCTGTCCATCCAGGTAGAATTTTTGAAAGACAGAAGTTCACTCTCCGCAACAGGAGAGGGAGACGGGAATATCATTCTATGCAATCAGCCATCACTAATGTTTCAATAGGAACTGCTGTAAGGAATGTTAAAGTAAATCATGGTAAAATATAAACTGCCCTATACTAAAATACTGATTTCTAGGTTATCTCACCAAGATAACAAAGAAGCAGCTGGCTCTTGGCAGATCAGTACATGTCTGTGTGTGTATGAACATGAAGTTCTGAGTTTGCACTGTCTAGACGCCACCGTAATTTCATGCACATTCATGACCTCCTTCAAAGGAGGCGCTTAACAAACTATTTGAGAGTTTGTTTTCCAAGTTATAAGTCATTTGACATCCCTGTTTCTGCTGGCCAAGGAGTTAATGGCTAACACCTGTCAAATACATTTTTTCTCTCTTGTGCTCCTTTTGATAGTGCCCAGTCCCAAACTCTACTGTAAGGTGAAAAGAAGATGTATTAACTGTAGACAGCTCCAGATTTTGTTTTAGCTGACGGACACCACAGCAGCGTGGTAGTCACCACTACTGCAGGGACCCTGCTCCCAAAGGAACTGTGTGACCTGTGTATGTCAGTTCTGCAAAGAGATTGTGCTTGTCATCAGACAATGTTAAGAAATGGATAATAACTCTAATCTATCTAATTATGTCAGAGTATCAAAATGTAATATTTAGAAACAGTATTATAGAAAGAAAATCAAACAAATGTATTCATTTCTACTGAAGACTTCGCTTTTTAATCACCAGCACCATCAAGTTTTCCTTTCCCTAAGTTCCCTTCAGTCAGCAGGACTGAGGAATGATTTAGTTATGAAACTCTTCCTCGGGCAGAGAACGGCTGAGACCCCTGACTCTGCAGAACCCTTTCCTCCAGACGTTGTTATTCAAGGAACCTTCACCTGTGAGTGGCCCCTTCTTTTACCTTAGTCAGTATCTTGTAGGACCTATGTGTAGAGGACTCCTCCTGTGTACAGCAGCACAATGCCTACACACTTTGCAATTAGTTCTAATGAACTTGACTGTATGATAGGTACTCTGGGTGGGTGCATGTTTGTGAATTCACCTTTTGTGAGACCCATACTGTGTGCCACACATTCTCTTGACAGTGAACCCGTCCTTTAGGAGTCTCTGTGATTCAACTAAAAAGAAAGCTAAAGGACTGACAGCAGCAATACTAATGTAGCTCTGATGATTTAAAGATGTAAGCTGTGAAAGATATGTAGAGATAGATAATATCTTTCATAAGATCAAATCATATCTATAGGAAAAAAACAGACATGTTTGGGGCATCTGATAGATATGTTAGCTGTGGTTGGTGCAGTTTATAATGTGTTATAAATTCAATATTGAGTCTATGTTTTTAGTATTCGGTAGAGTTACAAATTTTATTTCTTTTCACGGTGCTTTGTAGGTCACTCTTGAAAATGGGGACCTAGAAGCCATAGGAGGTCATTTTGTGAGATACAATTACTAATGACTTTTTTCTTTCTTATCAATTGTCAGCGTAATTTCTCTGTGATGCAGTGTTTGATTTCAGACACAGAGTTTCCGTGAGGGCATTCATGTGAATGAAGTATCTTGTACTGATCCTCAAAGGATAACTACAATATTGCAGGCTCAAGAGTGGGATTCGTTTCCTGGCACTTACTACCAACTGTCTCTCTCAGTCTTCCTTGCTGTCATCCTCTTCTTCCCTAGTCCAAATCATATTTGTTTCTCAAACTGCCCATGTGATAAGCATGACCAAGTTAAAATCCAAGCAATTATTCTCAGTCTAAATTCAGTTTGAGGGCTGCTGCTTCTGTTTAGATCTAAAGAAGGGATTGTGTACTGGCAGCCTGTCATTTTTTTTTTTTCAAATCTATCAGTCGTTCTTATAAAAGCACTTACAGCTTTATTGACCTGTTTGGACTTGTTTCTTATGCAAGCACAGATGGATTAGTCTTTCTCACAACTCTGATTAACTCAAGCTACTCCCCTGTCTGAAAGAGTCAAACATACTTTTTGGTATGTACTTTTTTGTATGTATGCACTTCATAGCCCATATTCTGAGAGACAAGTAATCACGTACCTCTTAGTCATATCACAAGTTGAAACTACATAGAGTCCAAAAGCAGTGCACAAACAACAGAAAATTGATTTCAGTGTACATATCAGGTAATACCTCCTCATCGCTTTCAAGGAACTTTGTCACAAGTTATATCAATATCTATGAGATAGTCATTCTCACCTGGGCTTTAACCATTTCATTATAGTTTGAGATGAGTTTCTAGAACTCTTCTTGCTTCTCCTGTGGAAGAAATTCAGAGAGTTCACTAATGTCATTGAAGGTTTCAGTATTAGTAATGTAGGTAAAATAGGTTGAGAAAGGTAGGTCAGGAATGTTCTTTAAATCTTGTCTCCATCCTGTGGATTCATAATCAGTGAATTGTATAAATGTACAAAACCTAAGTCAAAAGTCACTGTTTTTTTCCATCAGTATCCATGCTTATCTGGTTGGACAGTTAGCTATGCAAATCACCAGATTTTCTAAATGGAAATAGCAATTTTGCACAGTCAATGAAATAAGAACAGTTAAATAACCCAGTCAAACAACTTGGCCTTAAACTGAAGAAATTCAGGCAAAGTGTCCTGGTACACAGACTCATCTATACTGCGAATCTCAAGAAAGACTAATCAAAACTCAGAGGCAATGCTTACTTGAGTTATTTGGGGAGCAAGCTTTACTCACCGTTTTCTTCTTTGCAATTATGTATAATTACATGCCCATCTAACACAAGCATCTTCATCACACACATGCAACTATCGAGGTGGGAGCTTGTGATTTAGTGATGTCAAAACACATGAACAGAACGTCTTTTTTAGCTTAGTGTTGGCAAAAAAATACAATGCAAACAAGCAGATATTGGCCTATGCTGTGCAGAAGGGTCATGGTACTTTTACATATTCATACACATACAGTTATGTTCAACTTGAAGAAGAAAAAAGAAGCCAAGGGGCTTGCTCAAAGTGAGTGAGTGGCATAGCTTAGATTAGAACAGAAAGCTGCTAAAAGTTGGTATGCTTTGATATGCAAAGCTAACTATTTTGGCAAAAGGGCAAGGGCTTATTCGTGAATGCAAGCAGCTGCATCTTAAGAGTTACTTTTCATGGTGTGGCCAGCAGTAACAACAATCATACTTCACACATTCATGGAACTGTATTTTCAAAACATTAATAAACAGTTACCTAGCACAGTGGGAAAATATAATCTCCACTTTATAACTAGGCAAACAAAGATACAGGTGACTGACTTGCTGAAAACTACACCCAAATTCATTGAGAAATGAAATCAAAACTAAAGAAGTCTTACAGTCACATTATGTAGTGACTATAGCATTCTCCAAGCAGAACAGAAGCTATGATTTTGTTTGCACCTCTAACTTGAGACTCAGTGGAATGGAGCACACATATTTTCTAATGTGCCACTGTTCCTGAGCCCGTGTTCGTCCAAAGGTTATAATACATGTCTGTAGCCAGAGAAGAAGTATGGCATAAATGTGCATGAAGTATCTTTAGTCAGGAAATAATTAGCATGGAGAACATATTTTTTCAAATTTCATTCTACATATATAGTATACCACCACCTTTCTCCCTCCCTCCCTCCCTCCCTTCATTCCTAACTCCTTCCTTTCCTCCCTCCTATTCTTCCTCCCTTCTTTCTTTTCTCCCTCCCTCCTTAAGAAAGTTAAAATCTCTTGCCAGAAGCTCGATAGATCCAGCCTGTCATCACAATATGTTTCAGCTTTTAAAATAGAGCTAAAATGAGGTTCTTAGAGCATGGGTGCCCTTTGAATTGTCTTTTGTTGGACATGGATATCTTAGAGCAACTCAGAATCATTAATCTCTTTTGGAAAAATCTTCACCTGAAATTTTAGCTTCTTTGTTCACAGTTTTGCCTTTAATTGGTCAATAAATTAAAAGACAGTCTTAACTCTGGTAAACACTTCTAATTTTGTTAGGAAAAAAATCATCTGGTAAAATTTGACTAGTAAACATTCCTAATGACAGTTATTCAGGAACAACCTACCTAATTCACTTTGTACTTCCTAGAAATGTTTTTACTGTAGCTCCAAATAATTCTCTAATCCAGAATTTTCTGTGTTAGAAAGAGAAACAACGGGGCAAAGCTGTGTCCTCTGTGGAAACCTAGCAGGAACTTTAATGGCAGAAAGTCTGGAGTGCTCCATAATGGGATAATGGACCTTCATCTCAAGACCTGTAAATCTGTCTGCATCTACTGAAGGATTAAGTTTCATGGCACTCACTGGAGCTACTCCAATTTATATCTATTGAGAAAATATGCATAATATGTAATAGCCATCTTACCATTCTGCAAGATTTGTATGTGACTCTTTTGTCATGAACTGGAACTGTTCAAGTAAACTGGAAAGCAACCAATGTACAGTAAAGACTGAACCAAGACGCCTCATTGGGTCTACCATGTGATAAAGGTCATGCAGCACAGTTTGGATCTTGGGTGCAGCAGATGGGAAAAGCTGGGAAGAGAGACATTTATTAGGGACTGTGAGTGATGATATTTTTTTTCCAAAGAAGTGATAAAGGGTAAGAAGAGATTGTATAGATGCAATTTATGCATCTATATGCTACATGCTTATATTAATATTCTTTTCCACATATCTAGAAAATAACTGTCTTGCCCATCCTTGCAAATCAGACTTACTAGTCTTGAGGTGGAAATCTAACGCTTTGGAAGCAAAGCCTCTGGACTTTCAGACATAGACAACCATTTCTCTCTAAAAAAAAGTCTCCCTACAGACACTACAAACTCATTCCTTCCTTTCTGCCTCTTAATATCAGCATGTTCTTCTCTTCAGCCAGCTCCTTTTATATTTGCACTTTCCTGTGACATCCAGGACTTCTTTAGAACTCCCTGCTCCCATACTCCCATGGGCCTAGATGCCCTACTCCTGCACACTGTTCTCCCATCTTCCAGTAACTTCTTTGCCCTTCTAGCCCCCTTCATAGATTTGCTCATCAATCTCCAGACTTGATGCTCATCAAAGGAGGAAGAAATTTTGGTATCATGAAGACTTTCTGAACAACAGATGCAGTTGCTGATCTTTCTTTTCCCCAGTGCTCCTCAATTCATGGCAATTTCTCTTATTAACTGCAGTGTCTATTCCTGGGCACTGGCTTTTATTCCTCAATCTTCATTCTTCTCCTGAAATGAACTCACTTAAAGTGTGAAGGAGAAGGCATATAACATATTACGTCTGCTTCTTTGCCTCCTTTTCATATATATCATTCTTTTCTCTGATCATGATTCTGAGTAGTGAATTCTCTCCAGTCCTTCTACTTGCACCTGCTTTGTTTCACTGTCATTCTCTTCTCTCACCAACTCATTAAATGATCATTTGTATAATTTTCCTTCTTTTTCTGTCTTCTATTTTCTGGTCTCCCTTTTTGCTTTAGCTGTCCTTTTTTAATGTATCCTCAACCCCAATTCTCTATTTTATTTCTTTCTCTCTTTTATTTTCATAAACACTCCAAAATAAAACTAGCATAGCCTCCACCTCCCAGCAGCTTCCCTGTCCATCCAGCTTGATGCATGTCCCAGTGATAGCAGAGAAAGGCAATCAAGGAGAAATGTTAAACAGATTTGCATTAAATATGTATGAAATATAGCAAAACTGTTTATTTTACCAGCTCAAATTGTCCAAGATTCTTCAGCTCTTTTACAAAACTACTAATTGAATTTATATCTTCTAAAGATAAACATTGTTCATCTCCTTTCTGGTAGGTTCCATCCTATGAAAGAAAGGGCAACATTTGCTCATGAAAACACAGAAAGCAAGTGCTTTCATTAGCCCCACTCCCTTTGGTGATCAAAGGGACAAGCTATAGCAGCTCTCAACTTGGTCTAACCTTGTTCAGATTCATGACACATGAACTCCTTGATAGGTCTTCCCGTTTTACAGTCTACAGTAAAGTAGACTTTGCATTAGTTTTGTGTAGAAAAGAACCTGAAGTGTTAGAATTACCATGGGAAGAGAATATACAAAATATGGAAAGTCAAGCGTAGAGTTGGCAGTGTAGTCTGGTATCCTAAGGAAAAAAGACTTAGGTGATCTTATGGTATCTGTGTATACATCTTGGCTTCGCACTTTATCCTGCCATAAACTGAGAACCCGTGAGCCTGTTTTGTTTGTATCTGGCAGTGGTCTCACAGATAATTTTATCCCTATAAGCACTGAAAACAGGAGGCTCTTCAGAAATGCCCCCTCCCAGTGCTCAGATTGAGAGAAAGGCTGCTAAGGAAGCTCCCAGCTTGTCAGAAACAGATTTCACAAGTGATGCAAGTATAATGCAGAACCCTATAAATGGGAAAAAACTTGTAATTGGATCTTGCATTCAAAATGAGATGCAATGTTGTAAGAAACCAAATTTAATTCTAACGATCATGTATCTGCTTGTTTCAGTTAATATATTCTAGGTTTACAGGAACACACAAACCTGTATAGTAAAAAAGATCATTTCAGAAATTGATTATCCAGGCAGGGAAATGGTTTTGTTAAAGCTTTCCATACAGCTTTAAAGTAAAGTACTGTAGTTTGGTGAATGACATACTGTGAGAGTGAAATTTTTGCTTAGGAAAATTCCATTGGCCAAAATAATTTCAATTTTTCTCATGATTTCCCCAGAATTCAATAACAAAGCATTGTGATTAAATAAATATTTGATTACGTAAGCTGGCATCAATGATTTCGTAATGAAATGCAATTTAGAATGAAACACTTTAAAATAATTAATAATAAGAAAAAAGTGGAATTAACTACCTTGCTCACAGTTGATTCATATATATTTTGTAAAGCTTCTATTAAATCGGAAGTTGATGTTTCATTAGATAAAAGAAACTTAAAAGTATCTTCAAAAAGAAATTCTCTAAAAGTTTGGTCCTGAATATTTGATTCATCTTCATCTGGAAAGTCAAAGTTTTCATGCACCTAATGGAATAACAAGGTAGTAATTTAGAGTACGTATATCAAGTCCAGTCTTTCCATAACTATATATGTCAAACTGTAACTATTTATACAAAAAGGTCATAATAACACAAATAAGAGAGGATTATAATATAGCAAATGTGTAACCACATTTTCTATAACAGCTACACACCGTAATGTTTGCTGACCTCCAGCGGATAGAGTACAATATTGCATTCCCATTTAAGATAGCTATTCTTAGGTGTGTTTGCTTTGAAAATTAATGAAAAAATTAAAATGTCAGCTCAAATATTAACATATCCCTTACAGTACTCAGGTATTTAGGAGTTATTACTGGTGAAGATATAATTTTTACGATATATAAACACAAAGAACAAACTCATATTTATAAAATTTGTATTTTAGCATAAACATAAATGCAACTTTAATCCATATGGGATGTACACATACTTCAGCTTCTAGGGGACACTACTGAAAGTAAAATGTCAGTTAATGCTTAGTAATTAACAACTATTAATTTATTACAGTAATTATTTAGTATTTCATCGGAAACTATTGAACACTTGATTTACTGTAAATTTATATATTATGACTGACGGTTGAAACAACTCTACAGGCAGGTAAATATGATCGTTCTCCTTTATATTTAGGTTTTTAAGCAACTCATAGAAGAAAATAATTTATTTACAATCTACAGTTATTAAATTAGTATGACGTGTCACATTCCTTATACTAGCTAAAACCACCTCTTCAGACTAATTAAGGATATCATCTTCATGGTTCCTGAGTCCATTTCTCCCGTGCATTTAAAGGGCCTTGCTTTTGAGAAGCATTTAAGAGACTGACTGCACTGTTGGTATTAGTAATTTGAACAGATTTTAATCAAAGATTACCTTAAAAAGTTTTCTCCTGTAATTTCCCAGGATATATTTATGCACACTTTTTTTTAGCTTTTTGTGTAAGACAAATGTGGACAAAGATATTATATACATATTTTATTATACATTTCTTATGTATATATAAAGACTAATGAAAAGCAGCTGGAAAGTAGTTTAATTGTTGCGGCTTACTGGGCTGTTCCTGAGACAGGAGTGGTACAAACATGGCACCGTGAGTTTATGCCCTTTCAAGAACAGTCCAGGTCCAACAGTCGAGGATAGAGGAGGTCAAAGCAGGTCATGGATTGAAGAAGTACTGCAAAATTCATGGAGACCTTTAACTTCTATTAAAAGTTATTTGTGGTATTTTAACTTCTTCGCTTCAGCTATGTTCTGGCACAGTTAATACCTAACTTTCCTAGCACGCAGTGCTTCCTGTCAGTATTGCTTAGCTGATGTTCAGATGGGGTGATAGTCCTGTAATGCTAAAACTGAAAGGTTCACATGTCTGAATGCGGTGAACTTCATTATAGCAACTCTGTCCCTTAATAACCTTTCTCCCACAGCAACTCTCCACTTCCATGCATAATTAATATTAATGCACTTGGACATTACTCAGAGATTTGACGGCAACTGTCAAAGAGGTTTCCCTGCTGTCTTGTTTTTGGTGAAAGCTTTTTGGGTCAAGCAATATCCTTCTTTTGTTTTGTAAACTTTTAACATCTGGGGCACTCCTGGAGACAAAAAAGTCTATAAGAAATGTAGTGGAATTTGCTTACCTCAAGAACTACTGGGTATATGGAGGTGTTGAATCCAATATCAAAGGTCAGCATTTGAAAACATTGGCTGCATCTGAAATACAGTATAACAGGAATCAGACTCAGTGAGGTTAGTTACTATTGTGAAATATATGCTGTAATGACTGAAAATATACATAAATGTCCAGAGAAAGCAAGCAACACAGTCTAAATAAGATTTCTGGGAAGAGCCAGCAACCTGAAACAGAGATAGAATCACATTGTGTGCTGATGAAAAAAGTGCTATATTATAGACTATTTATATGGTTGACTTCTAAAGCAGTGAGGGAGGGGAACTACATTAGAGGAGAAAATGCCTTTTGATGGGAATGAGGTCCCACAAATACTTTGGAGATACATCTGGAGGGCAGTAGATGTCTAACAGGCAAAACTCTTGGCTTGCTGAACCCAAGGACCCGTGCTGTAATTGTGGGGACGTTTGAAGGCCTGGGCCATGAACTCTAAGCACTTCTTGGGGTGCTACATACATAAGGGGCACCCATCCTGTTGGTAAACAAATACTGGAGTCTGGATCATGGTCAAAATAGATCTACTCCTGTTACACTCCTCACTTCCTCTTCACCCTTTTCATCCACCGTGTAAGCTTTATTCCCAACTTGCATAAGCCAAAAAATGAGCTTCATATTACTGCTACTAAAACAGCTGGGTTCTCAAATACCTTTACAAAATACTGAAACTTCTAAAACATAATAAATAACAACATATTTACTATTTGCCATAAAAATATCAGAGATGTGATATATATAGAACAAATATTAATTTTAATTAATAAACACAGAACATATAAATGTTGATCTATGTACAGTAATATTAACACCCTAATAGAAGCGATCACAAAGATTTAACACTCAAATAAAAGTGAATATTGCTGCCTAGGTATATTTCATGAGGTACATTTTACCAAGTATTTTGCAACTGTCTGTTGCTCAGATTTCCTGCCCAAGCCAGATCAAAACAGGCTGGGTGTACTCCGACTTTAACTAGTTGACACATAACAGAGGGCTCGCTGAAGTCAAATACAGCTTTATATGTTTGTACCAGCCCACTTGTGAGTGATTTCTCTTCATTTGTGCTGCCTGAAACACCTAACTGGGACACATAATATGGTCCTATGTATTCATCGTAACCCTTTCGGAAACACTGGACAACAAAGAGCATTACTCCTTAAATACAGCACATGTCCTCACTTCATTCTGTTAAGTATGAAATAGATGGGATTTTGTTATTTTAAGAGTCATGTATCTTCTACAATTTTGTGATTCTGCTCTAAGGAGCTATCTTGACAACAGCATAGCAATGACCACTGCAAGATACTTACTGATTGAAAGAGTTTGGTCCTGAGGCAGATGATTCACTGAAGACCTCCGTTATCAGGAGGAGTTTGCTTACAGCTTCCTTCATGTTGTTAAAGGCTTGCTGAGGAGAACTGTTTTTGAAGAACATCTCAAAAAACCTTTGCAGCTGTGAAAGAGTTGACATACATTTTTGAACATTTACACTAAAGCAATGCTTAACATAATGCATTAAAAAGCTTGCTTCAGAATGTCAACTTTAGTGTTATTCATTTCCACAGTAATGAAAAGTAGCATTAAAAGCTCCACAGGGCATTCCAGTATAGAATGACCTTTTGTTTACAAATAAGTATATCATAATAAATACACATAAGTATATCATTTGGACTGGAGCATCTCTCATGTGAGGAAAGGCTGAGAGCTGGGGCTTTTCAGCCAGGAGAAGAGAAGATGGGAGGATCTGATCCATGTGTCTAAGTAGGTAAAGGGAGGGTGTCAAGAGCATCTTAACAGGCTCTTCTCAGTGGTGGCCAGCAACAGCACGAGACACAACGGGCACAAACTGAAACACAGGAAGTTCCACCTGAACATAAGGAAAAACTTCTTTACTGTGACGGTCACTGAGCACTGGAACAGGTTGCCCAGAGAGGTTGTGGAGTCTCCTTCCTTGGAGATACTCAAAAGCCATCTGGGCACAATCCTTGGCAGCCTGCTCTAGATGACCCTGCTTGAGCAAGGGGCTTGGACCAGATGATCTCCAGAGATCATGGATCTCTCATCTTCCAACCTCAACCATTCTGTGATTCTGTGATTCTCTGATAAATAAACTTTGTAATAATGGCTTTAAAAATATCACTGACGCACAGTCTAATCTTATGTTTTGCTTTCAACTGGTTCTGCACAACAGAAACTACAACACCGAATTTCTTCAGCAGTAGAACTTCATGGTAACAGCACACACAGTAACACGCTGTGCACTTGAACTCTGACTGTAAATCCTTGCTTTAAACAGTACATATAAGAAAGATGATGTTGAAAAAAATGATCAGTCACCACAGCCTATGTTTTGATGGGAATCTTGCATATGCTAAAGATTTTAGCTATATGAATCCTCCCAGTGACATGTTCACAGGCAGGCCTGCATAACTGTTGTCTCAGCTGCTTTCATCATCATGCACATTCACCCTTTGCATCATTGGAGACAGAGATTCAGTGAAGCAGAACTGGAGCAACACAGAGCTGCAAAGAGGAGTGGCACAGGGGCAATTTTGTTGCATTAGTCTTTTGTGCTAATAAGAGAAATGGGCTGCATTTGAACTGTATTTCCATTAGTTATCACACATCACAGAACTGCTTAATTTCTAAACTATGTAAAACTATTAGATAGTTTAGTAGTACTATATTACCAAACAGATACATTTATATTGTGTCAAATTACTGTCTTCAGAGATAAAGCACGTATGGTACACACAGAAGATATTTTGTACTGCTACTTAGAAGAAAAAAAAGAAGTTTCTCATCATTTCCATGAAATGCTCTACTAAACTGACTTAGAAAAGCCATTACATATTTTCTGCCACCATCCAGTCCTACTTGTCCTGCTAGGGTAACACAACTGAAGCACGGAGGCAGCAACTCAGGGGACTGATCTCTCTACTTGCCTTTGATTCCCCAGTCATGATCAGGTATTCATTGCAGACAGATTAACAAAGCTTGGCCTTTAGCAGAAGTCCGTACGAAGATCTAACATGATATTCTGGATCCACAGCATGATGCGTTCACTGTGCTGGCACCAGATCTCCTTATAACATACTGCTGTACACTAGTGTCCAAAGAATTTTCTAGACAGTGTGGGAGCTTCCACTTGGGAGCACAAATACTGCCAAATATACTCGTCTGCACTGGCATGGATGAATGGTTTCAAGCTTTTTTCAGGCAGCATATTGCAGTTAATGCAATAAGCACTTTCCACACTAAACTGTTTTCAAATGATACTGTATCAGTCAGCTATGAGAAAGGAAGCTAACATGAGCTGGTCCTCCTTTACCTTTTGCTCTCTTCAGTGCCAGTAACTCCATCCTGCTATGCTGGGAAAAAACTGGTAGGTAGGAAGTTGGCCTGGCTGTCTTTCTGTTCTTATCACCTCTGGTTTTATTCTAACAAGTAGTTCCCTTCCTAAGCTTTACTAACTGAAAGAAATGTGTCCCATGCACAGATGTGGGCTGAAGGTTGCAATGCCCGCAACTCTTTTTTCTGCTTCTGACAAAGCTATTTGAAATTCCAGTAGGAAAAAAAAAAACAAACCAACAACAACCCTGCATATTACTAAGATTATAAAATTAAACTTTTACTGCCAGGAAATTACAAAGTAATGATTGCACACATAACCTCAGCTCTGCCCTTTGGATATTTGCATTATGTTGCAATCTTTAATCACACTGTATTTTTATGTCATAGAACATTTCCTATTTGTTCTGCAATTCCATGAATCTTCAGGGTAAAAGAGCTCTGGAACTGCTATGTAGAAAGAGATTATGCATATCCTCAGATCACACTCTTATTTTATTGCCACAACAGGCTGAGGAGGAGTATAAGCTTCCCCAGCACTAGGATCACCAAAGCTGTGTATCTCCCACAAAATAGTACAAAAATTAAGAAGATGAAGATTCTCAGACAGATCCTGGATATTACTGACATTACTCCTACACTAGCTTGCAGCTCCTCTCTAATTTCCTAAATCTGGCAGTACTGAGGAGTACTGAGGGAAATGAGGATCTAAAGGGGAAGATGTGTTGTTTCTCTGCATGGGGAGCATAAGTAGCTGCAGAATTGTACAAAGAGAGATAGAGAATACTAGGAGGAAGGACAAGACAGGCAGATAAGCTCCCCTAAGTAAATGAATTCCTGGGCACATGCAATACAACAGATAAATAACATATATATTTCTAGTTAGAACGAGGAAGATAGGCTAGTTGGCCCTAAAGGCACTCACAGCATGTTGCTGGCTATAACAGCAAACTGTTCTCAACAGAAGAGGCATAAAAATTATGCTGGCTCCTCCCAGGACTCGCATTTTAGATAGTGCTCTCCTTAGGCAGATTTGAAAAAACCTATTGCTCAACAGGTCCTCAATAAAAGATGTCAGGCTTTAGGACAATGGTTATTCTAAGCCAAAGACTGAAAACAAACATACAGTCAGTTTAGTTAAGGACCAACAAAGACATCAGAAAAATAAATAGTCCAGGTTCTATTTCAATTTATAAAAAAAAATCCTATTCAAACTGATTCAGATTAAGTTTGACTCCTAAGGATTCTAAAGAACTCTTAGCAACTGATGAGAAAAAAGTACGATATATGGATTTGGGGTGATAAAGTATGAAAATCTGCAGGAACTTCAGGTTCTCCTAAAAGACTGCCCAACAAAGATTTATAAATATCTGTGTTCAACTGCAAAATATTAACTCACTGAGTTAAAGGTTACTTCACGTGACCACTACCAACGTTTGTTCTCTCACCTTCAAAGGAAATAAACTACCTGCTCCAGTCAGGTTCAATTTCATTATTGACAGTCTGATTAAAAGCAGAATTGAATACCAAAAGGAGGACAGAATGGAAAAAATCTGGTGAGAATCACAAGAATTTACTCTGGGAGAAAGCTGACCTCTGGCTGGTAAATTTTTGAATAAAGGAACAGAGATTAAATTTTAGTAGGCTGTAAAACTTAATGCACACATGCACATTTATACTGTACAATGACAGCATTGTATAGAGAACTACAAAATTTCTCAGGAGCTTACAAGTGTTCATCCACGTGCTGGCTGCATACAGTCACCGGTATGTTGCACATATTTATATAATGCCTTTTAGAAAATGTGTAAATGCAGCCAAATGACATGGATCAAGCACACATTTTCTCTAAAGGCAGAATGAACGAGAAACATAAATATTCTTAAGATTAACTCACTGACATTTAGCTATCTGATAACTACTTTTGCTTTAGGGTAAGCTACTGATAAAAAAATGAATTAATTGGGTAACTCAACATTGATTCTAAAATGCTTTTTCCCCTTCCACTTTGACATTCACTTTTTAAAATCTGCAGGCATTAAAATAAAATAAGCCTTATGATCTCAGCGACATGGATTCCACTGACTCCTCAAAAAATACCCTGAACCAACAGTTTAAGGCCCAATACACAGGAAAAATACAATTTAACTGACAACAGAATTCCCATTTTCAACCTGCGTGCACAGACTCATGGACACAAGGAGAGCAGAAGAGTGCGCCATCCACTGGGCTAGATGTAGCAATTACTGTAGCAATCCCTTAAGAAGAGACTCCTCTGGCATGATTCCTGCAAATGCATTTCTCAAGAGAGGTTCTGGGGCAGTCTGGGCCAGCTGGCTGAGGATTAGCTGAGGATTCTTGCCTGAGAAAAGGTACAGAATTGATTTAGCCAGCAGTATCCCAGTCCCTTCTATTGCCACCCCTTATTTTAAGAGGTCTGTTCCGAGTGTGTTGAGCAACAGACACAGCATGTGCACTACATGGGTTGGACTACTCCAATACTTCTAATACTCTGTAGAAGATGTTAATAAATTTTACTGTAGTAAAAACAAACTGTGGCTATCCTTCTGGGATTGCCTTCTAGCTCAGTCCTGCCTCACGACAAGACAAAACAGTAAGATTCTCCTTAATTAAACTTAGCGATGGGAATAAATGCAAAATTAAAACTACTGCATTTATTGACTGCATGGACTAGTTTTCTGTTGATTGTAATAGAAGTTCAGAGGCACAGCTCACATGAAGACATCTAAATGTTGTAATCTGGAGAGGAATCCCACCCTGGAAGACTGCATGGCATATATCTATGCATCAACTAAATGTCTAGACTCTTTTTATACTTCATTGCAGGACACACATGCTGAAAAGCATGATTTATGTCATCCAAGGGTCATTCAGAATGGTGAAATTAATTGTAATCTGAAACTGCTCTGTCCCTCCAGTGATTACAAATGAATCTAAAGAATCTAAATGAATACACACTGAAGACAGGTAAGAAGTATATACTGGGAATGCTCACACAGCCTAACTTTGACAAAATCACCGGGATAACAAAACCTGTGTGACTGGAATATATGAAACTGTCTAGGCAGTTGTTTGCCCAAA